TTTTGCAGCCAACGAAGGAGTCAGCAGAGTAGAAGTTGCGGCAACTGCTTAATCGCTTTCGACATGCAGATTTAAGTTTGCGGTGGGCGAAGAATGGGGTGGTGGTTTGATAAGTGAAAATATGGGCGACAACCACCGTCGTTGGGATGTAGGATCAGGCGGATGAGGATATGGCTACAGTCACAAAAATCATGTTTACTTTCACTGTCATTATATTTTAAACTCTTTTAGTGTATTTGATAGTAAAAAGATACTTAATTAATCAATGTTTTTTACATAACATATGCATAGGTATATTTTTAAATGTAGAAAATATTTAAAGCTTTTGCATTTTTCTAAGTGCAAATAAAAATAGAAGTGGCTGCCGATAACACCAACCCCAAACCCCGACAAACTCCGCCGGACGCACGCACCGGATACGGGCTGCGGATGAAGGTGTGGGCGGGCCCAGAACTTGGGAGGTGTGGATGCTACCTTTTTTTTTATAAGTGGAAAAGTGGAAATAAATTAAAAATGGGTGGCATCGTCCTGGCATAGAGTCTCGCCTGCGTCTGCGTCTGCCACACGCGTCGACAACGAGGACGACGCTGCCGGCTTTGGCTCTCAGCTTCTGGCTCCCAGCTCCCGACTTTTTGGGTAGGTAAAACTTTTGGATAAAACAGTTGAACTTCAAAATGTGAATTTGATTAGGATATTTGCATAAAATTCTGTTTCTGCGCCAAGTACACACTCCGCTTCCCACTGCCACGTCCCCGAAAGTCAGCCATAAAAAATCCCCCCTCGAACAGGGCCCGGCTGTTGGGGATCCGAGCTGAGTTGGAGCGTATGTTCGCTGCCGGAAACGGAAGTATATAAGTCAACCTAGATTTGGTTTAGTAGCAGCTCTGCTGATACCAAGGACAAATGGCCTTTCAGTCAGAAACTTGCCGAAAGCCGGGATAGAACCGCTTTAAGGACACTTGCTTTATTTAAATTTATAGAAAAGTTGTTGGCTGAAAAGGTTAAGGTGAAAAGAAGGTAGACGATTTAAAGAAGAGCAAGTAAGTTCCTTTAAATCTTGATATCTTTATATATATATTTGTATTTAATTAATTTTAGTATTAATTCTGAATTATTTTAAATGTTCATATTAATGTTCATATAAACACAAGACCCTTTCAAGTGACAAGATCCTTGAAAAGCAAAGGCTTGGGTCTTAACCCCAGTACTCAGACTTCTTTCTCCATGGTTCATAAAATCTAGTTTTCATAATTTTGGTGTCATTAGAATATGTAGGAATTATGCAATCCTTACGAAACTCTTCCCCTTTTCAATGTCCCTTTTATCTGCGGATTATCCCGCCTCATAAACTCATGAAATCCCGCCCTCCCCCGGAGCGTCACAATTAGTCTTGGCCATAACTGCAGCTAATAGTTTCGTAAATAGTTTTGGCCAATATTTACATGAGTTGCCTTCTGCCTCGGCTGCGTGTTGGTTTTGTTCCTTTTGTCTATTGTGAAAATATTTGTCTTCGAATGGCCCATTGTCTTTGACCACTCGCCAGTCTTCCTATCTTTTCTCTGATGTCTGTACACTCAACAAAAATTGTGTGTGTTTTGCTGAACTTGTATATGATGTGCTTCTTAATCTAAGAGATTCTGTTTATAATGCAAAATATAAAAATACCATTTCATTCACAAGTCTTTGAAAAAGTAACAATATTTTTTCTCAAAACAATCTCTAAGAATCTAAAACGAAACGAGGCTATATTTTTAGGTTATGTAGGCTTAATCTTTTGGATCGTTCATTTAAGTATTTGTGGAGGAATTTTGAATGAGGGATACATTTTTCTGAGTGCATACGCATCCGCAGCAGTCGTCGTCCATCGCTGACGTGCGTCTGTCTCTCGTTCATCGTCTTTCATCTGCTTGGCCATTTCTTAAAGTCTCCGTCTGAGACTCGTATTTGTATCTGTGACTCTGCCTTTGTATCTGTATCTGTATCTGTGCCTGTGTCTCTGCGTTTTTCTTGCTGTCTGCCTTAGAAAACGTGTTCATTACAATCCGCTGGCCGTTGCTTCTGCTGCAGCCGCTGCCGCTGCCGCCGATCGGCCAAATGTGTCAGAGCTGAAACGTCATGATTAATGATGCAAACATGTGGGCCCGTCTCCGGCTCCGTCTCCGTCTCTGTCCCAGTCCCAGTCTCAGTCTCCTTCTCCTCCACGATTCCCAATCCGGCTACGAGTCCGGCTCTGTGTCTGTGTCGACGGCGACAATGCGTTCCGAGGGCAGAGACAAAAACAGCCCGGGGATAGGGCTCGGGCATGGGTATGGGAATGGGAATGGGAATGGGAATGGTAACATTTTATCAAGGTAAATTAGAAGACTAGACACCCAAAATGTAAACATCGAACTGGGCAACACTTGGGCATTAGGCGAAATTAGAAATTAATCCTGCCACTGCACCACAGATGGAGATACATCCACGAGGGAGTGGGCAGTGGGAAGAACCGAGTTCGAGCATGGGGAGTGTATTTCTTTTTTGTATTTTACTTCTTTTTTGGGGGGTGCGGAACTTTAGAGGTCAGGCAAAATTAATGGGAAATCCTCAGGACTGACAAGACGGAGTAATAGCCCATACACATATCATAAATGATCTATAGGAAACTAGCCTAGGGATAAGCACCACAATCGAGGAAGTTCCAAATTATACTGACAAGAAGGATAAACTCATTAGATAAAGGAGAGTAGGGAAAAGTGACAGATAAGGTAGTGAAAGTACTCAATAGATCTAATAGAATTAAGAAATATACTATTCAATATATATATTTCCTATAATACTAGTAGAACTCTTAATTTGATAAATGTGTTTACAAATCTCTATAAAAATATATAGCAGCATTAAAAATGTTATAAAAAATTATAAATTAAGTCTGTAAATATATTTTCCAGTAGCTGTAGTTAGTTAACGATTTTCCTGATAAGCCTAAGCCTTGAGTGACACATGGCGTAGTTTCAGTGTGGGTACTGACCATGTCCTGTGGACGAACCAACCCACAGCCAGCCAATTACAACACGACAATGCCCTGACCTCAACTTTGCTCCTTTGACACACACTCGCACACACACACACGCGTGCGCACACACACATAACACAAGTGGTTACCGTTGTAAGGGGGTAAGTAATGGGTGGGGGCAGGGTAGGTTGGCCAAGCGATACAATAATTGCCCTGAGCCACGGTCGCCGACCGTCGCCAGTCGTCAGTCGACATTGTTGTGGCGTGAATTACATGCACTACACAAAAATATATGTTAAAAACTATATCAAATTTTAAGGAATTTGAATAATAAATTATTTGAATTTTATATATTTATTCTGCTCTTAGGATAATGTATTTAAACAGCCATAAACTAAAGCGCTACGTTGAACGGATTTTAAATCCATACTTTATGTTTAAACTCAAGATTAAACTAATGATTAAAAATCCTCTAAAAATTTATAAAAATATAAAAATAAAGTAATTTGTTATTCTTTCTAGGGTCATAATTATTAACTAGCTACATCTGGGCATTAATGAAACCAGTCTTAGATTGGAAGATGAGAGCGAAATTTATCCTATGAATCCCTTAAACATTTGTAGCTCTTATCATATCAAATTACTAATATATTTCACTTAATTGAAGTTGAATTGAGTATTTCCTTATTTATTAAGCCAATCTATATATATATATATATATATATTTAGTATCAAATACTTTTAAAGAAGTTTCTCCGAGTGCAGAAAGCAAAAAATAAATTGTGAACGAAGAAAAAAGCAAGAACCATACTCTCTATAAAAAGCCGCCATGGCTTGGTCATTCATTCATACTTGTACATACATATGCCGGTGCTTTGGCAAGCACAAACACACACACACTACCAATACCTTTTGGTAACACACACACACTGGCACACCAATGGAGAACAAGTCATGCAATGCTCAGGTCGGGAAACCTGACATGTTCTTTTCGATAAGACAACGACCACCACCGAAAGGTACAAAAAATATAATACCACATAGGTGAGCGGAAGGAGAAGGGTGCCCAGTGTTTGTCATTGTGGGTATTCATGCAAGTGTTCTATGTATATGCTTTGTGTTGTGTGTGTGTGGAGTACGTACCTCAATCATGTAATTATTTCCTCCGCCACAAAGCCCTAAGAGACTGAGAGAGCCATAGTGTGTGTGTGTTGGCCAAACTTAAACTGGTAGCGTGTTTTGGGCCTTCTCTCTCTCTCTACCTTTTGAGCAAACAACAGAAAACACGAACAAGATTGGTCTACATACATTTCTTAAATTATATATACACACACACACACACCCCGGTGGTATAAAAACTTTTCGTGTTTTGTTACTCAATTTAATTCAGGTAAAATTTGTATTTTTTTTGTCTCCCCGCCACGTTTCTTTATTTTCAACGCTGTTTGCGTTGTCTTCCCTTCCCAAATAAAAACAAAAAATATATACATATATACCTAAACTTTGGTCACGAACATGAAAAAGCGACGTTTCCGCTGAACCGTCGTCTCCAAAATGGTCGCCGCTTGATTGGTTCAGTTTTTTCTCAGTTTTTATGCTTGATTACCGGCCCGCTCTAGATGGTCTCGATACACAAAATGGTCGTCACAAAGTCGGATAGATCTCTTCACCAGAAACGATATACCCAATTATTTGGCTAAGCAAATTTTCGACCGAAATTGTTATACAATAATTATCGAAAATCACATTTTTCGTTTTGCGGTTTCGCCACAAATCCGCGTAGGCTGGCCCCAAATTGGTATAATAAGATTTAATCAGACTGCTGCGGTTTTTTTTCGCCTCAAATTATGTGTTTTCCTTGAAGAACCCTCACAATGCGAATGCAAAATGTATGCCGAGCTTTGATTATTTTGGCCAATGCGTTAATGGTTTCGTTTGTGGTTGAAAATATTGCAAAATGGGTGAGGAATATTTGTATTTATGAGTTAGGAAGATAGGTACTTACTTATGGAGTTATCACCTGAAATGTAAAGAGAAAAAACGGTTTGTTAGTTGGGTTACTACTTTAGAATAAATTTATCTACAAATTTTGAAGGTATTTAATTCATTAATAATATTTTGATCTTATGTTTAAACAGTCTAAAAGTGTTTCACAAATTTGGGAACATATCGTATGTTTATCAATCGTCTTTAACGCTTTAAAGCCATCATAAACCAGTGAGTCCCATTAAGGTATTTTCAACCAGATGCTCCAATAAATCGCTAAGGGGTTGTCAGAGGTGTGTTAATATTTTAAGACCATTCACCTACAAAGTAACACACTTGAATGATTCAGAATATTGGAACATCAGAGTTGTTTATCTTTTTTGGGCAAAAAGATGCAGTGACAAAGTTGCTTGGGGTCTCTCAAGCCCATATTTGTGGCAACATAATATCTCTCAAGAAACTTTCTTTCTTACAGTTTGCTCGAATCGAGAGTGGAAAATAATTAACCTCAAAGTTTGGTAAGCGGAAGTTTCCCAGCCGGCTGGACATGGTCAACACATGGAGCACGTAACGAGCGGTCAAGTGGAGGTACTTCCTCATCGCCTCACTTTAACCCAACTTCGTAATTGAGAAGTTTCGATGGCAAGAACCATGGAGGAGGATATCCCCGCCAGGATACTGTCAAGAAAGCGCAGAACTTCAACCGACAGTCTATTATTCCAGGAAGGGGACCTGGTGGAAGCCAAGGGGTTGTATCACGACGATGATGATGATGATGGCCAAAGGCAAATAAAATCATGCTGTCGGAAATAATAGCGTCTAGCCTCGAACTCGATTCCTTCTGGGCTAAGATCCAGTCTGTTTACCCTCCCTTCTCACCATCGAACTGCTGCCAAGTTTATGCAGTTTCATAAGCAATATTTGATATTTTTCGTGCAGCGGCAGCAGCTGCGTGATTAGCAAATATTTTCGTTTGATAATCAGCGAACATTCCCATTTCTATATGCAGCTGTAGCGAAGCTCATGAATATGACGGGGCACTTTGTCTGTCCATTTCGGATATTTCATTTAAAGATGGAACTGGCTTTAAGCGATGGAGTTGGCATTTGCGTCCGGTTCAGGCTCAATGGGATTTTCTATTTGACTTTAAGCATTTGATTTATGATCAGCAAGTGCCTGTTTTTATTTAGTGAATACTAGGATAGTTGAATAGAAAAGAAATGCTGCTACTTAAATACTTCATAAAAATGTATCTAAAAAGCTCAAATCCAACTTTATTTTAATATAATATTTTAGAAGAATACACTTTTGTGTCATAGTTCTTGAGACCAATTTCAACACTAATTTAAATAATCCTACTTCCCCAGTAGACTTTCCACCTTAAAGTACCACAATACTCTTAGCAGACACTTTCTAATCGTACCCAAATACCATTTACCTAATTGAATAGAATGTAGTGAGCTATCTGAACATCTGTGAGTATTATGGCTGCCCGTGAATATTTGGCCGTTTAAATGTATCTTTCGCTCGATTCCCGATACCAGGTCCGATTCAAGGCAACGCCTTGGACAGTTTTCGGAGCGATACCGGCTGGCATTGCCCCATTGCCTTCGCCATTTCCATTGGGTGCTGCTCAGGGGCAAACTTGGGCCTGACTGACAGCCAGTAGGTGTGACCGCGCTACTCATTCATTCTGACAGTTTTCCCACCCACTCTCGCACACGGAACGCAATTTGTTGGATTGTGGGCAGTGCCCCTCGAGCAGCCAAAGAATGGATGCACTTGGAAAAATATGATTCTAAAGAAAATGCCAAAAAAATAGATCAAAACATTTGAATTTAAAGAAACTGATAGCTATTGTCCGTGTGAATACGTAGCAGAACCAACTCAAACTTATGATTTTTGTATGTAGGTTGATAATTACTGTGCAGTATTTTGTTCAGTGTATAAACACCACCACCTTTATAAGAAAAAGGAGAGAGAGAGACAGGTTTGCTTGTGGCGCCAAAAAGCATTTCTCGCAGGTCGCAAGTCGCGTGTCTCTGGGCTTTCATTCCATTTCTTTCTCAGTCTCTCTTTGTTTTTTTGGTTTTTTGTTTTTCTCGGCTCTTGCAACTAATTTTCATTTCCAACAGAGTGCACCTTTCGCCGACAGCAGGGACGACAGAGAGGTGGTACGGTGGAGCTGGGTGGAAATCTTATTAAAAAGTGAACAGAGTGCGATAAAATTGAATTTGCATTCGAAAGCCATTAACCGCAGCAGTCACTCAGCCTGCTATCCCCTTTGCCCCGTCTAAGGAATTTAAAAAAATAACCAAAAGAATATAGATGTGACGGAAAAATCCTTGAACTCGGCTTTAATATGAGTGGCATAAATATTATTTTCAAAATTCGCTTGCTATCAAAATGGAAATTAATATTTCGCGCACATTCCGCTGACAGCTGTTGGCTATAAAAATCTATACGTGATATATAGAGATATCAATAATAATTATTCTATATGTGCGACTGGTAATAATCATGAGTGCTTTCACTCGGCCGTATAAATATTATTTTAATTGCATATCAATTTCACGCTCTTTTGCCGCCATTACATACCATATAGGGACAGCCGCCATTCAATCAGCAGCGAAGCAACAAATTGTTCGAAAAGCCATTTGGCCAATGATCTGAACGATGCGTTTATAATAATCGCCACCCACTGCTCACCTGTCTGTCGGCACCTTTTTTTTGTCCCACCTTTAGCCATACCCAGTTCGAGTTTAAGCCAAACGATTTGGGGCTATTATAAAGCCCAGGGAACCATGTTGTCTAACTCCCTCCGACTGCCTCTATTGGTTCATAATTGTCCCACTTATTGCTATTTTTATGGCATATTACATCTAGCACGTTCGGCTCCATTCTGTTTCATTTATGTGAACGGTGTACGAATTTCAATTAATAACTCCAAAAGAGTTGTAATTACCAAATCCGAACATATCTTTGTCAATGGGCCTGTGTTTACATGTGTGTTTCAAGTGTTTAATAATTACAGTTTATTATTCCCAGCGAATAGGCCACAAATGCCAGAGAAAAATAGGAAATTGAATTCGATAATATAATATTTGTTAAATTTTTAATAACAAAAACTAGCATACGTCAATGCCATTTTGGAAAATATAAATCAATGAAGTTCCTTAACAATTTCCAAATGGTTTTCGATATGTGCCGCAAAGGTCAATCCAAATCGCTGTGAAGCAGACCCAATCGATCAACGAGCCGAGCAGATTGACATAATTATTGCTCCGCTCATCGCATGTCAATTAAAATCACAATTTTCAATGCAAATCAATCAAGGACTTCTGGACCTGGGCTTAACTCCAGAGTCAACCACCGAACAGCAACTGCAATTGATGTATTGCCAACGGACTTGGTCTGCTAAGAGACCAAAATGATCAAAAAGGTGGAGAGTGAATGAGATTTATTTTTTGGCAAACATGTCAGACCGTTTACAGATGACAAATTCATTTTTAACACGACACCAAAGTGAAAACCCAACCGGGAAAATATGTGTGTATGTAATCATCGGAAAGCTCACAATGAGACATTGCATGGCATTTTTCCCAGAGAGTCGCTGACATTTGACTGTTGTATCTTCGCATCTCTCGGATGTAACATGTGCACCTCGCCAGTATCTCACACTGTGATAGATAGCAAATACAAAATTAAAGATTCGCCTTTAGTCCGCTGTTAAACGGAAGCTTAGCCCAAAAAAGGTCAAGTCCAGAATGATGGATGATGCTGTGACACTCACTCACACTCGCAGACTCCCATTCCTATTTTATATGTACTTGTGTGTGGAAAAGCATCCCCAAGCGACATCTTTTGCTCGTTCCGCCCTGTTCTACAATTTTCTGGGTTACTTTTTGGGGTTGCAAAACACACTCCGTACTTCCTCAATACTTGCTTATCCTTATCTCAGGTAGCTCACCTAATATCCGCCAGAGAGATGTCCCATAACTTTTACTATCTCTCCGCTCATCGCATAAATAATAACTGTTAACATTGCTCAACAAGCCACAAATTAAAAACTACAAGAAGCACTAAAAAAAGATGGGAAATTCTTGAAAATTTACGAGCACCGGAATCACGTGTCAACCACGCGCGTTCTCGGTTTCAGTTTCGGTTTCGGTTTCGGCTCAGTTCCATCCCCAGCTCTCACCTCACGAACGGAACCCAATCCCATCCCGAGGACGAAGTCCTCCTAACCCAGGAGTTTCCGCAGCTGTAGATATGATGCATGACTCGGCGGAAAGCGGTGTCAGTGTCGCCGCTCCTGCCGTTCTAGCCTCAAGGACTCACTCACGTGCTAAGCGTATGCGAATTTAAATCTGTTTGCCTCTGCCACCGAATTTGAATATAAGGGAACTTGTGCCGACGAACGGAAGAAAGCCTTTGGGCCCGGCTGCGGTTCGCTGTTTGAATATAAAACACACGGGGGAAGTCGGCAGCCGATGACAAACAGAAAATCCATTTTCACACAAACATTAGTTTTATTTAAATCACACACATATCGAGGGGTTACCGGGGTTAACCGGGGTTGGGTTATCATGCTAGTGTGTGTGTGTGTATGTGGATGTGGATGTGGATGTGATTTTCCCCCGACTTCCGGTTGTCCTTGTTGACTTTTCACGCTCTTTTAAATGCCGTTAAATTTTTTACCTCTTCTGCTTGTTGCTGCTTCAATTTTTTATACCCTTGTGGGGTTTTATAAGTTCAGTCAGAAGTTTGCAACGAAGTCATTCCCGAAGTCATTTGGATCAGCATCTATCGTTCTGATCACGTCTGGTGGAAAACAAAATTTTACCCATTTTTCAAAAATTTAATAAGGGATTACATCGTTAAAATTAATTTTAAACAATTTTAAATTGAATATTCACATTTGTTAACTGATAGAAGCCTCTCTCTCTCTCCTCTCTCTATCTCCCTCTCTCTCTCTCTCTCTTTCTATCATTCTCATTCATATTGCATTCCCTCTATCTCTCTCTGCTCATC